TTTTCTTGCCCTCTAAGCATTGCAGTAAGCATTCTAATATAGTACAGAACTGGTTATTCAATTGGGCTCCTCGATGAACGTAGGTGTAGTTTTTTAAATGCACTGCCACGATAAATACGCATTAAATATACATTTAATGCGCATTTAATGCGCATTAATTAATGTACATTAAATGTACATTTAATGCGGGACAAATATGCGCTTTAAATGTGCATGTACAATTCGCATTTAATGCGAATTTTAATGCACATTTAGAGCGCATTATACGTGCATTGGCGCTCCTTGGGGCACTTCGACGATTAGCTGACGAGTTCCCGGGGCGCGAATGATTCTACGAGACCCGTCGTTGACATCACTCGTGAGAGTGTGGCGTCGCGAGCACGAAGGTACACTGAGAAAAATGCCCGATTAAATATAATTGGATGATCCAATTACGTAATAACAAACGGATATGCCCGACTAAATTGTATATCCGATGAAATGTGATCGGTTTTTCAATAAAATTTCATCGGTAACTGCATTTTATCGAACGTATCCGCAATTTAATCGGAAATATTAACTATCGGAAACGCTGCTTGATTGGTTTATCCGAATGAAACTTTTTCTCAGTATACAAATGCAGCGTGAAGACGCGGTGTAAAGTAGGATGATATTCAGTGCTGAGATACCAGGATGTCCGAAGTTCTCAGAAACGGACTGTAACTGGTCCAGGTGTCAGAATATTCGCGAATTGTCGGTACAGTGATGGACATAATGGCGACACGTTTTTCTTTTAAATAAGTGCACTTAGATTGAGGTTTACGTGGCAAAATCTTCTTGTCGAGGAACGTTTTACTCGATGGCCATTCCAAACCATTTGGAGCGTTTCCGGTCTATTTCTCGAGTAAAATTTTCCTCAGAGAAAATGTCTTGGAACGTAACCCAGGGGCTCGATCACGAATCTTTTCATCTAGCGTGAACTCGTGACAAGTGAAAAGTTTCATTGAAGAATTCAATATTCGTCAATGAAAGTTTTCACTTTGCACGAGTTCACGCTAGAGGAAAAGATTCACGATCGAATCCCTGAATCTACACGCGCGTTCTTAAATTCGTTTAAAAAGTGCTACGACCATTTTGCCCGTCACCGTACACTTGGACGATAAGCAGACGCTCACTTCCGCGGGTAGCACGTGCTCGAACCACGGACTTCTACATACTAGCAGACCGCTACCTTCGAGCTGAAAAGCGAGGCAAGAGTCTAGTAGTTATAGAAGTTTGTGGCTCGAGCACGTGGATACTTGCACTTGGTACTCGGACATTTCGGTATCGTTAATGCATAGGCGTTTGAAAGGAGTCTCGAATTTGCATTTTGAAAAAACGATACGAGAGAGCCTCGAGTCCGTCCGTCGCGGATTGCGCGATCCTGAAATTCGCACGGCGGTATCTCGCGTTACTGCCTCGACGATCTGCACGCTGTGGCGTTACATGCCTACGCGACGTTACGTCCTTTCTGTTTCGGACGCCCCTCTCGTCGCTCGACCGGGGTAGCAGCACTCTTTGTACCTAATAGGCCTGATATCGATCGCGTTCGCGATATCGGGACCGACGAAGTGAGCACCACGGTGATCATGCGACTAAGGATTAAGGATTAAAGTATCAAGGTCCAGACAAACTTGCACAGGTGCTCAAGCGCATCCATAAAGAAACGGATTGACCTTATGCGTGCAGTTATGGTCCAACGCGATTCCATGCGCATACGTTTACGCGCTATGCAAGTTTGTCTGGATAGACCCTTAGAACGACGTTTATCTCGCTGCATACACTCGCATATACACGTGCATACTTTCGCTCGCCGTGACCTTTCAATCCCTCTCCTTAGGATTAGTCTGTCCTGTTATCATTAATGGCGAAGACCACGTTACAGGCCGGACGTCAAATGTTACGTTACTATCGTTACTCTTATTATCGTTATTATTATTATTATTAATATTATTATCGTTATCATTATCGTTACTATTATTATCGTTATTTCCACCATACGCGTTAAGAAACATTTAATTGAACAACATGAAACTGTCGCCCGCACGCGCGAGTCTGTCAGCATATAGTATATGTATATAAAATTCGAATACACACCCGGCGGACCGCAAAAATGAACGAGGTGAACCTTTAACAGCGTCACTAGACTCCAACGTGTCGCATAAACTATACAAAATGAGCGCTCGAAGTTGGGAGAAACGAAATATTTTGGACGGTACGACGAAGAAGCGTTCAACGAAACGTTACATAGCTGCCGCAAAATCTTTGTGTTCCGCTCAAATTCAAACCGCTCGCAACCGCATTCGCGAATTAGCGTAAATCCCATTGCACATCGATTTGCCCGCTTCGGCAAGCACCAGCGATTTCCGGCTGCGCGATCCCTTCCGGCCGTGGCTTAGGATCGACGCGCGGTTGAAAAATTCAGCGCCGTCGAAAGACATTCACCGATACATTCTCACTGGACAATTCGCGAACTGGCGAACCAAGTCTCGCACGATCCCGGCGACCGAAACTTCCCGCGAACTTTCGTTCCTGTTCATTGAGGCTCCAACTCTTCCGCGACTCCTCGACTGTTAAACGTCTTCGAGTGCAGGCTTCATCTCGCAGCTTCTTATAATTGTTCACTGTATAATTTAGACGTGTTGGAGAGCGACAGTTACTTAAGCCGTTGCGTGACATTCGCCAGGGCAACGGCGAACGCCTGCAAAGCGCTGAACGGATATTGGAAATCCAACGTGTACGCGTTGCCGTCTATTCTTCCGAATTGCATCACCTAAAATTTGACGGTGCTTTATACGATATAACTTACGGTGAAGCGTAGAGAGAAGACGCGTTCGATCTTACCTGTCTGCCCCTGAACTCGATCTGAAAATTCTTGGCGCTTTCTTGAGTCACCCTACCGCCGAAATCGAGTTGGTACACTTGACTGGACTCGTTCCACATGGGCGCCTTGTTGTGCATCACCAATTGTGCATCGCGCCTTATCGCTTCCGGCTTGGAGCCAGAAATTCCCATTCCTCTCTGCTTGAGCTGCAAACAACGTCCAAGATCGATATCGGTTCCACGCGCTTTCTAAGTGCGGCATTTATCGAGTATACACTTTCCTGGGAGCTGACAACATTTGTAATACAGACCTTCTGACGTAGCTGGGCTTTCTGGAACGTTTCTAGGTCCCGATAACTCGCCGTCGACGAATCGTCCTGAAGGAGTCCTTCCTCATCCGAGCTCTCGCCGCGACTCTTTCTCATTCTTCTGTTCAGCAACGGACTTGACAAGAGTCTCCTTCGGATCGGAGAGGCCGACGCCGGTCTCTTGCCTTTCTTAGATGGTGCTGGGCTACTAGGTGAGCTTCTCGGTAATCTGTGGAGATAAGTGAATTATTATCTGCGCGCACAGTCAGTACCAAGGTTTTCCCAATCTCTCGGTAAGTTAATTAATACTTAAGTTCCCACATCGTTGCCTAATTTGAAGGAAAAACAAAGACCTATAAATGATTTAACTATCAGTTAACTTACCAAGAGATTGGAACAACCGGCCCTAAATATAATACACTACCTTGAGGATGGTCGAGGAGAAGGAGGTGGCAAAGAATGATTATCGTCGAAATCGCGAAGTCTCGCGGCGAGACCGTCGAGCGAGGAAGCGAAGGACCCACTCGGGCTCGATCCTCTGAAATATAATGAGCCTGTTACTTGGGACTACTCGCAGTTTCATCTTATTGATATAACGATCCGTGTTCGAATAAACTACTTACTTGACGGGTGACGCGGCGGCCTCCAATCGGCCCGGTTTCTCCCTAGTCTGAGCCTCACGAGCGACGTTACTTTCGTTACCTTCCTCGCGTTTGTCGGCAATCTCGCGCGTCTTATCCTTCGGCGAATCTGCCGATTCGTTGCGCTCCGCCACGCCATTCTCGGTAACCTCGGAATTGATCGGCCCCGTTGCCTCCTCCACGTGTTCCGGCAGTTGCGGCGGGGAGGATATCTGCTCGTTACTCGGAAATATGTCGCTGGAATCGAGACTCTTGGACTTGCCGCAGTTGCGGAGCCTGGGCGGCTTCGAGCTCGGCTGGCTCACGTCGTGCTGAGGCTTGGCCCTTTTCCGCCGTTTCGTTTTCCGCGACACCAGCACCAGCCTCTTGTTCGGCGCGTCTCTGCGCAGCATTCGCAGGGCTACGTCGCACGGGACTAATTGGGCGTCCACCAGGTCCAGGTATCCGACGCTGCAGCTACGCACTATCGAGTCGTTGGAGCACATCGGGCCGATGCTGATGACAGTCGGAGTTCTATGAACGCCACGTGACTGCTCCAACGCCTCTATACCGCCGCGTGCCTCGTCGTCGCTGAATCGCATCAAGTCCTCGTCTAGTTTAACGAGCGTCCCGGCGTTGACGTAGCCGGGATTCGTCTTTCCGTAGCACACGTGGCACTTGGGGTCTTTGTGCTTTGAGAAACACTGCGAACACGACGACCCGAAGCACTGATCGATATTCTCCGGGAACTGATAGGAACACGCCGGCGAAACAACTCCGTGTATGCCGTTCTTATTAAGAGCTAGACTCGAGGCTTGCCCGACTTGAGCGCTATTCGAAGACGTCGTATTGACGACTGCCGTACTCGAGCCGTTATTTTGATTATTCTTACTATGTACAAAACTATGAGCGCTCGGCGACATCGTGGTCTGGACGCCGCTGACGGGGTGCGGCGTGGTCAGAACGTTGCTCGCGCACCCCATATTATTTAGACCATTCAGATACACGGTCTGCGCCGAGGCGCAATCGATATTCTCCAGACCGTTCAAAACCGGGCCCTGAGAGATGTATCGACTGCTCGACGCCTCCGCGTTCAAGGCCTGACCGTTTTGCATGGACACGGAAATGATGTTCGTCGCGCAGGCCGACGTCAGGCACGGTTTGTCGTCCTGGGAGATTTGATTGAGCTTATTGTTCTCCAGTTCCTTCTTCGTCGCCATGCCCGCCTGCTGATCCGCGAGGGCGTTCTTCATCCTCTGAATGCTGCCGGCGTAGTCGGCGCCCGCGTTCGAGGTCGCTATTAGCGTTTGCGTGGGCGCAACCGCGTTTTTCGGCGACTGCAAGGCCGGCACGTCGCAGCACCTCGGCGGATTGTGCCTCGGCGGCGTCCGGTAGGTGTTCGTAGGGGCGTTTCTGATGTTCTCGTACAGATTGCCCATGTCCTGCAGATCCACATACGGGACGTACTCGCTTTCGTAGCTCTCGATCTTCCCCAGCGACGTCGGCAGGGCCTCCGACGCCAGGAACTGATTCGAAATCTGAGACTTGGGTCGATTCGGGTGGTTCAGCCGAGCGTTACGGGGGGTCATCGGCGCGATCGGCGGCGGTTGCGCCTCCGGCGTGGCCCGCGAGCTTGCCTCCTGGTACGACTCCTCCTCGTCCTCGGAGAACAGATTGGGGTTGAACGTCGGATCTGGACCTACGTCAACATAATCGCCCGTTATTAGGCTTCCGCAAACGAATGGGGACATTAGAGTCACGCGAGCGAATCAATTATCGCAAATTACCGGAGGGCAAGTCGTCCCGGAGCTCCGTCATTACCAGCGTCATTTGCCTGGGTTGCAGGTGCAGCAACGACGTTCGATATGTTACCTGACCTAGGTTGGCGGGAACCGAATCTGCCAAGCCGTGAAACTTGAATTTCGTGCCCCAGATGTTCGACGTTACCTCGACCAGCCTCGCGTGCTACGAGCAGATACGCCCCCGTTAGAAATATCCACGACAACGCGCGCACACACACGGCTGCGCCCGTTCGTCACGCGAGCTAGCGTACGCTCCCTTTGATACAAAAGAGTCGTCAAAGTGACTGCGCGCGGCGTGCGATTCATTACGTCGACAGATACGATGCTGCGATTGCACATACGAGAATAAAATATTTCATACGAGGTACCTCTATAAATACGAGGGAAAGGGAGAGTGAGGGAGATTGTATTACCTCTGGCAACGTATCCACGTACGAGAGATCGTTCGGCTTCTCCTCCCGCTCCGTCGTTTCGTCGCCCGTCCTCTCCTCCCGTCTCTTCCTGTTCTTCTTCCTGTAGCGGGGTGATCCGCACAGATCCGCGGTATCCTTCTCGGTGTCCGAGCCGTCGCTGTACGACGGGCACTGCGACAAATCGTCGAACACCTGCAGAGTCTCTTGACTCTGCGGATCGAATATCACGAATTCCGGCCGGATCTTGCTGGTCCGTCTGCCCTTCAGCAGTGGCACGAGACCACCTAGGTACTCTAGATACAGCGTGTAGCAAGGCACAGGCTCCACGGCGTGTCGGAGCATGGTGCAGTGCAACCGGCTGCCTCCCGGCGGCGGCCTTGACACGAAGCGTCGCAGCTCTCTCGGCTCCGGTACAGAGCATCTGAAAAAGAAATACATACGGAAACGCATCCGGATCTAAATAACGTCCCGTTTAGGCTGAAGCCTGATCTACAATGTGCTCTTAGCGTCTAGAAACATTCTTACGTAAGTAAATCGAAACGCTGAAAAAGTTTGGCGACAACGTGCGACCGTGTGTAGTGTACGATTTATCAACCTGCACAACTTTGTAGACGTATTCATTGGCTGCAAAATAGAATGTCTCTAGACGCAAAGAGCACACTGCAGATCGCGGGCTTGAAGAATTTGCAGAGCATTCTCCGTTTACCGTATCGTATTAGCGAAAAGGGCGGCCACCGAGGCCCTCAATCGCGGCGGTAATGGAAGATGTTGAACACTCGATTCCCTCGTGAGAGCCGCCCTCACCGCCAGCCTCGACAACAATTGGAGCGAGCCGACCCTCCTGCAAAGAACAATTCAACTACTTGATTGCGTCCCGGCAAGGATTGCAGACGCGCGGATTGCCGGCCGCGTTATCCGCGTACGAGCGCGATCACGTCGAAGCGAGAAATCACCTGGAGACCCATGCGGCGTGGACCCGCGCTCCGGTCGCCACGAAGAGCCGCCTGTCGTTGTGGCCCCACGTCAACGCCGATACGGGGCACTGGTCGCGAGAACCATGAAGAAAGTGTTTTAATCGTACAAAGTGCCAGCCAAAGGTGAAGAGAGACGAGCGCGTTCTTCCGCGCGGACGTACCTGCGTGTACGGGACCTCCGTCGTGTATACGAGAGTGCCGTTGACTGAGTAAAACTTGAGGAGATTCGTGTACTCCTGCGAACTGGCCTGGTCGAACGACTCCTTCGTGCCGGCGATGGCCAACAGTTTCCTCGAGTTGCTCCACTCGGCGTGCAAGGGCGGCTTCAGATTGCTGCGTATCGTAATCGGCGACACGTCATCGAACGACCGTAGCATAACGATGTTGCCGTCGGCGAGGCAGACGGCCAGCACGTAGTTCCGGTCATCTGCGCTTGCACATACATGATAAATGCATTAACGTGCATCGCGTGGCTCCTCCCCGAGCCCGAGTCAACCCCTTCGGACCGGCCCCGAGAAGCTGCGATTAATACCTTTCTGAGACCGATCGCACGTCTCATCCTCCTCCATCGTGAACTTCTCGGCGCTCCAGGCCATCGACGTAACCCCGGCCGCTAATTGCACCTCCGACACCATAGCTCCGTGAACATCCATCACGATTAACTGGCCCGCGGTCGTCCCGAAATAGACCTATTGTCGCAGAACAATGTCGAAGGTGAATAATGCCATTTTATATCTTTCCTATCGAAGACCGATTTTCGTCGGTGACAAAAGGGCAGCTTTTAACTCGTACTTAGTTGCCGTCAACGATGATTGAGCGTAACACTGCGCCACAATGCCGAGAACGCTTCTATTAGGCAGGTGGTACATTGGCGTATCGCATTTCACGCGATTACGACTCAAACTTGACTCGCGTTATTATTTGTCAGGGCCAGTTTCCGAACGGTGATGTTCAGTGACAGTCAGATTCGTATTGAACAAACTTTACGCTCATTCCTCGAGAGTTTTTGAGGAGACGCAGTGATTCGGTTTAGAATAGATTTCTATCTTAAGCTGTCTATTGACACTTGTCGAGGTCGTTTGTTTTGCAAAGATTAGACAAGATTTTACGCTACCAGAATAGTTATATTAGGAAAATTTAATATCTCCTGCTTACAGTAAAGCAAGAAATTGAAATAACAAAAGTCACGGTGATTTGCACTTATATCATGTACTCGTCACAGTGACTAGCACTCATTAGAAACATGTTAAGTAAAGAAACAATTTGACCGGAACTCAATATTTAATTGCGCCGCTAAACGATTTATTAGACAAATGTACACACACACACACAGACACACGCATACACCAATATATCGGCAGCCTCCGATTTTGACTTAATGAATTAATCAACACTGCAACTTTGCCGATTGCTCTTCGATAAATAATTTTCTCCCATATTACCGACAGTTGCGCATTCGACAATGTAAATAGTAATTAGTCTACTTTGCGTTAAATGTGACGATATATTAATCATTGCACTGCAAATTATAAAAAGAATACTTTTTAAACGGCAAGAAATTTGCAAAATGACGCGTATCAAGTTACATGTCGCGATTTTAAGCGAAAAGAAGCGTGTAAAAAGTGCTTCGCCAAATGACACACATCTCTAGTAGCGCAATATATTGGGAAATACAATATATGTAAATCTAGTATTCCCAATATTGGCTCAATCAATTGGTTTCAAGATGGACGCCTTCTCTTACTCAGCCAATATGTCTATTTAGCAATATTGGTTTAATATTGTATCGATATTAGACCAATATTCTTATCATCTTGTTAAATATTGGCCAATGCACTTCCAATATAAATCTAATATTATATAATTATTATCGTACAATATTTACATTTATTCCATGGCCAATATTGGCTTTACGTCGGCCGATGCATTTCTAATATAACCAACATTGGACCAACGTTTAGCCAATGTTTAGCCAACGCACTGTGCTACTAGGGATATGTGTATAAAAGTAACACACTTATTGTTAGATGTGAAGTATGTATAAACCCCCTGCCAATCACTGTATCTCTTCTTCTACATCTAATCAGTTAAAGCGAGTGTCGCGAGTTTATCGATTTGCCTCTCCCGTGCCGATTACGGCGAATTTTGGGAAAATGAAAGAAACGAAAAGTGTTTGATGAAAACTCTTCTTTCAAACCTGCTGGTCGTCCGGGGTCCAAATGCCGCAAGTTATCGTCGCCTTGTCGTTGAGCATCGACGACCAGTACCTCTGACCGGCGACGCTGCCGACCAGCACAAAGCCGTCCTGCAATAAAACATCGTATTCTCTGGAAACGGTCCTCCGCAGAAAACGTGCGAGGCCGCATTTATGACGAGGGTCGTAAATAAATACATAAAGTCCTAAAGTTTGAAGCACACCTCGACACATTGAATGGAACGCCCTTTCGTACCGAATGATGGTACGCCGATAAAATAAACAAACGTTTCGCAGTCACGCAATTTTTTAATATTTTCGTTTCAATTTAAAAAAAAAATGAAAACGAGAAAAGAGTTTTTTTTCCCCCTCGTTGCCTCGTTATGTTGAAACGGTGATTGGAGCTCGTGTCTGAGGGGAAATCACAGTAACAACCTGAAATAATACTGCGACTCACCCTGTAACATATAAGAGCCATGCGGCCGTCGTGGGACCAGGAGAAATGCGTAACAGGTGTGTTTCGGTCGTTGATTAATTCTATACTCCATCGCCCGTCGTATTTGATCCAGACGAAGATTACACCCGAACTGTCGCACGAGGCCAACTTTTGGTAGGGTTCGTTCCATTTGACAAGTATCACCTGCAATCAAATAAACGTACCTTACGAGTCAGCTCCCAAAATTGTTCACCTGCGAATAAAACCGCAGACTACAATCAAATTTCAACAGATCACTGTCGACGCGTTGTTTGCAGAAGTCTTCAATTTTCCGTCCATCTATTTCAAAACGCCCGCATTTCGCGCTGCCGGCTTTAATACACCGCCGTAAATTGATCTCCGGTATTTCATCTTGAGTCCGTAATTAATTTCATCGGCTCTAATCAAGAGCAAACCTAAGCCTTCATTAGTACCACTTTTCTCGACGAAAATTCTTCATCCTTACTCAAACTCCCCCCCCCCCCCCTCTCTCTCTCTATTTCTCTCATGCCGGCAAGATAATTAACATAATTAAGAATCAGTATTTCAAGTAGAATTTTACGATTCGCGCCACCGTTCATTAGATTCCAACCTAGAAGGTATATTCTGATAACTTCGCTTAAAGTGCGTGACTTCTTCGATAGGTATCCCCGAGGGTTAGAAGAGATTAGGCCAGTCCTGCAAGAAAGGTAATCGTAAGCATTTGGAGAGATTAAACCACTCCGGCAAGGGCGGTAATTACGACCCTCGCTTTTAAGGTTTATCTCACGTGGCCGGAGTAAGTCTCGCATGGGGTGAAGCCGCGGATACGTGCGAGACATCCACGCGGTGTCATTGCTCCATCCCCGATCGATTGCTTTCCACTGCGTTTACGAGCGACGGCGTCTATATTTTTATCGTGCTGATACGGCAAATAGAAGTTTATCGGAAAAATTAATTTATGGATTGAAAATGTTAGATAACGACACTCGCTCCTGCCTGCTGCCAGCTATTTTTATATCTTCGCGAATAATTGTCCCGCGCGATTTACGGCTAATCGCAATCGTATAACAAACGGACGGCCAATTTGCAACGTTTTTACAACTTGCGCGAAAACTGATCGTAAATATTTTACGAGGTGCACGGCTTATCGCGTGTCGCACATTTCGCAATTGTGTATCTGCTTCGTAAGTTTCGCCGTAAAGTTTGTTCTTCGATGAAAATTTCGCAGAAATCACGGGACGAATTGCAACGAACCCTTTTTTTTTCTTCACCGCCTCTCTTAGGCCGTCATTATTTTTCCCCGGACTTCTGAAATGCACGACAGATTAATTTCTCTGTTCGTAAAGCTTTGATCGACCGTCCGGTATTGTCTGAGGGGTGGAAAGCGCGGACGGAGTCACCGAGGGCGAGCTGCGAAAAATGAGAAGGAGAATACCGTACGTGACGTGCGTGGCGACAAGTTGTACACGTGTGGATCAACCCCGCATACACACACACACGCGCGCGCGCGCGGTCGTGTGCGAGCGAAGAAAAGATTCAAAAAGTTATCAATGCTTTTACAGAACAACTGCTCCGAGAACGTAAAAATTTCACCGCGTGTCGTTGTACAACTGAATCGCTCTATGATTGATTAATCTGCAGATCGCAGCCGCCAACTTTTCTCTTTTCTCGGAATTGTACTCTTCGAAATGCACGAAGCACAGCTGGGCTCGTATCGGCCGTAATAACACCAGAAGCCATTCTTCTCAGAAGTCAACGGGGTATCCAGACTTATATAACACCGTGACGTTAAATCCGTTATTATAAAAAAAAAGAAACATCGGGAGGGGATTTCGTTTATATCAGTTCGAAGCGACGCATTAGTCCCGTGGAAGGAATTTTAATGGGCAAACGCCCAGGAGGAAGCTCCCCGTTTCCTTTCCTGTGATTTTAAGCGGCACTCCATTACGTGGAATTTCGCCGGACGAAATTGCGTTACGATAAGCTGGTTCTCGCTTGATAGGAATAAACGGAATTTTCCTCGCAACGTCCTATAGACGCAATAAAATCTGTCCGAGGATACGCTGTAAATTGCGGGGACATGATCGTGCGAGAAAGTCGGGGAATAGCGGAGATAGCGCGCTCGCGCGCTGATCGATAAGAACCCCGTAAGGGCGCTTCGGATTTTCCCGTGACACCAGACTCGCACACGGCGTAAATGCGTCGTCGTGTGCGTCCGGAGGTACCGTTAGAATCGCGGATCCTCGCGCTCGTGCAAGTCTCTCTTTCGCGCGAGGCACCCTTGCGAGGGGTGTTTATCGCACTCCTGGATTTTATCGCAAATTTCGGCGCCGGCGAGACGGGAAGGTACCAGGCGAAGTTGGAAAGGATTTACCACGCAGTCGTGTGCACGCAAATTGACGCAGTGCATCTATTTTGAGCGCCCTCCCTCATAATTATATTCCGCGATGGAGCGAACGGCGGAATTGTCAGCTTTTATGCGCGGCGGCCCCCGCACTTTCGTTACGTTACACACCGGGGCGGGAAGTCATATTTTCCAACACACCGTACCATTTTTCGCTTAAACCGTCGAACGTGAATAGCACTCTCCCCGCTGACCTCCTGACGTCCCCTTTGTCTGCGCGTCGCGCAGCGCTTATTGAAGGGCGAGGACGCAACCGGCGCGTCTGATAATCCAACGTAATTGTATTTTCGCACTTGCAGAGCACGCCGAATGGGAGGTCGTCGCGCTCCTTCTTTTTTTTTCATTACAGTTCGCCGGGAGTTCCACGACCTGTAGCACCGCCGCACAATGTGTATACCTATATACATTTCGTGTATTTTACTTCTTTATTTCGACAGAATTCTAAGGACGAGCGAGGCAGCGGGAGAACGTAATTAAAATGATTACGGAGGAAATGCTTTATCGCGTTTTATCGCGACGTCTTTCTTTCTCGCTGCCGTCTTATCTTCGTTCCAACGTAATGCCCCGCGTTAACGACGCGAAATCGCGATCATCTTCCTTACTCCGACACGGCGTATTACGCGCGCAATATAATCCCGCTCCAATTTATACTGCAGAGATGTATATTAATAGAAGATGTTGAATTCTCCTTCGAAATATACACTGCGGCTTTCCGCGCCAGGCGACTTTGCGAAAGGGCAGGGGCGATCGTCACGTAATCCTTTGACTGCTAATGCATTGCGGTAAAGGCTGCAGCAAGTGCCGGGAGTGCGCCTCGTACGGCGAGCTCGTTTGGTAAATCAATGATGCTCCTTTCCGCACTCGTTCTTTTTCAGTGTCAAGGTAACCCCCCGGCGCCACGTATATCCCCGCGAGAGATCCCTCGCGCTCCTTTTGGCTCAATTTCTCACCTCGTGATTTATGACGAGCCATACCGAAATTTACACTTCTCGATGCTCGCTTTCCCGCGCCGCGTTACTTATATATACAGGGTGTCCCAGGAGGAAGGGTCAATATTCTGGCAGGTGATAGTATCGGTCATTTTAAGCAAAAACGTTCGCACGAATATACGTCCCATTCCCCGCTGTTTCCGAGATAGAGCACATTTTGTTGACGTCCTCCTTCAGATAAGACATGAACACTGGGGAGCGTTCCACTTTCACGCAATGTATTGAAAACCTTGGAAAACACTTTGCGATTCTGCGTGCAGGAAAGCGCCGACGGTATTCTTCAACAGCAGCAGTAGCACCACCGTCGCGGAAACCGTAAACATACAGCATATCTGCATATGACGTTTGTGAATATGCGAGGCATTTTGAACATTTCTACAATGTTATCAGCGCAACAATCAACAGACGTATAAGAGTACATTCCCGCAGACGTTTGTGAGATTGGATGAAGGGTGAAATGTACGGAAAAGAAAGTAAGTACGCGAGACATTTAAGTAGCTCTATCTCGGATACAGTGGGGAATGGGACGTATATTCATATGAACAATTTTGCATAAAATCACCGATACTATCACCTCCCAGAATATTGACCTTTCCTCCTGGGACACCCTGTATGTACCGAGACGCTCCCCTCGCCCCTCCGCCGGATGATACACTCTTACGCTTGTACCGCGTAGCACCGCCAAATTCGAGGTACAAATTTCTAACAAAAATCAATTTTTTCACAGGGGTGTTTCATCCCCTAAAAATGCGTATGGGCGCGTATAAAAAAATACGCGTCTCTTATTTTTAGCTGGAAAACAACATATTCAAAGCTCTCGTCCAAATCGGAGGGGGACAGTGTAGCAAGCGCTTAAGAGTGTAGCAAGCGCGGAAACAGAATTTTCCTCCAAACTCGCGCGCGTAATCTAGGTTGAAGCGAAAATGATACGGGCGATAATACGCTGGTTTACATTTAGCAAGTTTAACGCGCGCGCAGGTGTGAAACGTTGCAAACGAACGAGAGACTCGTCCCGGAGTTTAGCGCGTCCTTTCCCTTCAATATTTCACATCGTCTTCAAACGTACTACTTTTTCCCCTCTCAAAGTGACGCGTGAATCTTTCATAAAGCTTCTGTAATGGAATCTGCCAACAAAGGTATTGATCCCGCGCGCCCTCGAGGCGCAGATACGTTATTTTAATTTGTTACATTGATCCGCATATCGCTCCATTGATCCGACCTCACGTGCCTTCCCGCCGCCAAATTCTGCCGGTTTAGCAGGAAGCGATCAAAGTGTATTGAGTCCGCGGGATGAATAATTTATAACGTATAATATAATATCGTCCGTTTAATATTCCGCGGCTATCTTCCATGCGCGATACGCTCGTTTTAACGGCTCTGTCCGTTGGACACGCGTACTTCGTACGCTTTAATTCCCAAAGGATTTAGCGGGCTTGCAGCTCTGACCAGGCCGTTGTGTTTTCACTTGGATCTCACCGGCGTTACTTATACATGAAAGGGACTACGCGAGGGCTAATGATGTCAACGCGGGGAAAAAATGCCTCCGCCGACATGAAAGTTTCATCTTTACTCCACTCGCGAGTAACGAAACCTTACGCGAGACGGATCTCTTATTGTTAGCCGGGTAATAACAATAAAACCCAACTTATGCTAAGAGAGTCTTGTTAGAATTGCGCCATGCATAAGTCGCCGGGCGGGGCGTATCGGGCTCGAGCCTGAATTTTTCACAAGGAAGCCGCGTATAAAATTTTCCTTACGTACGTAAAGTCCCGTCCTTATTTCAACGGAGGCGTCGCGGATGATAATTGAATCGGCGGCCCGCGCGGGACCCAGCGGCGCGGGGGAGGAAAGGAGAGATTTGGAAATGAACGAATCCCGTAATTGCGCGTCGGGAAAACGCGGAAATTGTGTCCGTTCGTTACAAGTGACAGCTACTGTGCAAGGAACACAGATATAATCGCGCTATCGATTCGAGGTCCGAACGCGGCTGGCACGGCCTAGAACAGAAATAACTGAAAATACACCCTTATCGCGAGAGTCGCTCGCTGCAATCTAGAGAAATATTGTGTCCTGAATTACGCTAAGTTGATTGCTTCCTCTCGCCATTTGGGATATCATTTATAACGCCAGGGACGATATTATCACCGTAAAGGTGCTCGCTGCCCGTCTTATAAATAGCAGCTGGAGTGACTCGCGGGTATATTCGAGGCGTGCCGTTTCCTATTTTTAAACAACGTTAACGCGTCAACATGTGAAAGGTGAAGGAAAAAGAAACGTCGACGTTGCATGCGAGGGGACGTCGGCGGTGGTGGAGGAGCAGCCGCCGCGGAAACAGGGTTGAGAACCGCGGTCTTAAAACAGCACTGCGTGCCAGATCGATACCACGGCGGCTACCCTTAAGCTCTGAAATGTGGACCGAGGTGGACGCAAAATTCCGAGCTTCCATTCAAGTTTTCCTCCGCCGAGTCATGCACGCGCGATAGATACGAAACGAGATTTTCCCCCTTGAACGAGTCGCCCGATCGGCAATCAGGTACGATCGCCTGAGAGCCCGTCGAAGGTTCCGCTGCCCGGAATCTCATCGGATCGTCACCGGTTGTGATCGGGGGCTTCGTTAGCTCCCGACAGCGGTGAACAGGGGCCTCGACTCCCACGTAAGCGTCTGCATTCCAGTTTCTGCTGCGCGGGCATCGCGATCGACTTATCTAGCGCGAATGCATAATTTAAACGCGTGTACAGCGTCAATTGGCGCAACGTAACGAAATGCGCTAGTCACGTTCTAACTTTGTACCGCCGGTCTGACCTGATTCCCGTTGTCAAGATCATTTCCTCGTGCGCCTTACACCCTGCGTGCCAGCCTCTACGCCCCGGCTTATTGACTGGGGCCCGCTAAACGGGACGAAAGGTCCGTGGGGTCCGGGGAAGTTAATTGGCGAACACGTGAGCCGATAACGTACACACGTACACACGTGTGCACGCGCGTGCCGCTGTCGCGTACGGGGCAGGCGCCGCGGTGCTGATCTCAATTTAATTAACGCTATCGGATAAATTACCGTCGCGCATTAACTTCGAGTACCTTGCAATTTTTAATATGCGCCAACGCGCGCGAGGCCGCGCGGACGCGGAATAATAACTAACGGACAATTAACGTAAAAATTGACGGGGATTGTGTGCCGTCTGCATAAAATGATTGCAACGGGTTGGCTCGCATTGTCGATATTTTGCGACGAGCAGCAGTGTCGTTCGAAGCGCTTTTTAGAGGAGGAATGTTTTTCGCTGGACCTCCGGATATCCCAGCGGGCGGACTACGTGTGCGAGGGGCAAATTCCTCGCGGGAACGCGTCAACGTCTCATTTGTCTCGTCACGTGGCGTACGCCCGCGACGCTTATCCGATCCCGTCCTCGTTCTTCGCCCCCGCTGTTCCACGAAGCGACCCCAGAAGTGGCTCGCATTCATAAGGGATACGGGCGAGAGAAAGGTGCGCCCTGGCGAGCGGCGTGAGCGCGTGTAGTCTATCGAAGAGCGCGCGTGTCAGCGGAGAAGATTGTCGAAGAAAGATTTCCCGAGTCGAAATTTTGGTACTATTTTGACACTTTTAAGGACAATTTACACCTACCTAGCTGATCTATAAACCTACACAGACCAGCGATAACCTACTTTGATGACATTATATTTTTTCACTCAGCTCCCTTGAATCTTTAATTTAAAACGTTTACCTTAGCTCCTACTTAAAAGGACCTACTTTAATGCTAAATTGGCGACAGTAGAATTTTCTGACACTATCAGTTCTAAAGTCTCGAAGTATTGTTGTCGCTTTTTCCGAGATGCTGACTGGCTTGTAGCTGTCAAACCATGTAAAAGAGCAAATGGCGCGCGCGAAGCGCGCACTTGTGTTGTCTAGTGGGAGTAAATTTGGGGCTTACAGTTCGACCTCTTTTACTGTCTTAGGTCCTACTATATAATAGAATTAAAGGTTCAACATAGGGCCAAAATTTCAACTCGGGTTGCCACGTTTTATTCCGGGGGGGGGGGAGGGAGGGAGGAAATGACGCGAGCACGCCGAGACTCGGAAGTCTCGATTCATCTCGCTACAGGCGACTGTCATCTTTGTGTAATGATCTTCGTAAGCACTCCGGGCGTCATGTATTATTTATGGATTTACGATGGACAGGCACCGTCACTCGCGTTCCATTGTGTCCCGGTTACTTGTTAAGCGAATGCGAAATGCGGGGAAAGTCTGGGGGAGCGTTGGAATGGCGAACTCTTACAAGGAGGAGCGAGAGCGAGACGCGGGGTAATAACGCGCGCGCGAGAGACGAGGGCGGATGCAAAGCCCACGAGGGGGTGCAACCCCCGAGATTTTAAGCCGGTGATATTAATATTGGAGAAGCCGGAACGCCAGCAGCTCGCCGAGAGTTGGCCGAGCGTATGCAGACGCCGTTCGTACGAAATCGCGCGACCGTACGTTTCGGGCACCTGCAGGCAGTTTGTTAAAAGCGCACCGCGGCTTAATATCGATTAAGGGCCACAAAGGACTCCCGGTTTGCCGGCGCGCCCCCGTTTACTACCGATACAGAGATTACACGAAGTTTCGGCCCAGTGGAGCCGATGTTACACACAGCGGCGATATATACGGCGATATATGTTGCGAAACTATCAAATCGCGTCGCCTGAAATATTAACAAACTTTATGATTACCGTCAAACGACGACAGTCTGCGGGGAAATTTGAATCAGCGACGCATTAGCAATAAATCAGCGATAAATTACTCGCGGGATGTAAACGACGATGATTCGTTCATTGAACATTGTTGTAAATTGAGCAAGAGAGAGAGAGAGAGAGAGAGAGAGAGAATATAGAATAGAATAGAATCTTTATTTTTAAACGCTCTGGGACAAGTTCTCTAAAGCGTTAAGGCCTGTGTCCACGATGCTAGAACTTGGTCCAAGTTCTAATTCCGAGAAATGTGTAGCCAATCAGCTTGCAGCTTTTATGGAGTAGCTACAAGTTGATTGGCTAGACATTTCTCGGAACTAGAACTTGTACCAAGTTGTAGCATCGTGGATGCAGGCCTTTAGACAAGCTATACTCTCTAAAAGTCAATCAGTGGATTATCACTGAAAACAATGAACAGTCGCTGATTTGCAATTGTAAGTATACAACTGAAAGTCGCAGTAATATACCTGCAGCTGTAAATCAGTGACTATTCACTGTTTTCAGTGATAATTCCCTGATTCATTTTCAGAGAGTACACAGAAAAATAATTACGAGTGAAAATGACCTTTTGTATAATAAAAAAAATTTGAATGTAGAAAAATGTACAGAACAAAGAATTTATATATATATATAAAAGAGAGAGGGGGGAGGGTTTGTCGTTTTATTTATGCGAATTGTTTGCATTTGTTTAACGATCGAATGTGTTGTCGAGCTCCTATCTGCGTTGCGCAATCATTCAATTTCTTTGTCGACTCAACCCGCACGTTCTGCAACCGGTTACCACGGCTCGTGTATCGAGTAGATAAAACATATACACACTGGCTGCTAGTAACCGATAACCCTCGCGCGCTTCCTTCCTTAATGTTGCAGCGCAGAATAGGATATCGTTCGCGCTGGAGGATCCAATTTCGAGAACCGTGAAATTATGATAATATTTGGCATTGTCAAGCACGTTGCTCGTCCAGTTTGTAAATTGCTGTTTAAAGAGGCAAACCGTAAAATGTGCAAAATACAAAGGACGAAAATGTTTGCGTGTTTCCGGGTCTTTCACATTAATTATCCGCGTAATTAATCATTAATTTTCTATTTCCAGCGGAAATACCGCGATGACCTCGTGGCGAGGGAAGCTGTGGAAATGCGCCGCTGTAAGCGGTATTGACACAGGGGGAGGTGGAAGACCCGGAGGAAGAAATTAAATGTCGGTTTCGTTCAAACGGCTCGAGCGGTTCGGATGACAAGAAGTTAAAGGAAAGGCGATACTTGCTTCGCTACGGTGCCCCCGGAGGTTGTAATTCGCCCTGAGTGGAAGTTCCGCGACTCTGGTGCGACAATGCGACGTGGTGAAAGTCACTCCTACCAAGCCGCGGGCGTTGCCGGTGGCTAACCATCCTTCTTGATAGTAATTTATACGATCGAGCTGCCATCCTTCGTCCTGGTAAATAAAATGAGAACGTTAGTCACAGTTTCGCGGTATAGCGCGCGTGGAAACGTCATGCGCGTGATTTATGGCGCTTCAGATTTAGCGTGGAGATTTTTTGTCCCTAACGATTCCTCCCCAGAAGGCGGCGCCGGGCGCGATAAGTATCGCGGTTGTTCCGAAATTTGCACGGCGCGAATCGAACCGAAAAGAGCGCCGTTCCGCGTGGAACGCCGCGACCTTTTTGTAAAAATGCCAGAGTTGACGGCGAAGTAAAGCGCCGCTTGAATTTGCAAATAAATTATCCAGCGGCTAACTCGTCGCGCTATCGGGACGTCTCCCGAGACTATTTTCTATCGCCGAGTCGTTATTCATCTCACGGAGTTTGATCACGGGGTTTAATTAGAACGTGTTACGTTCGGCTAAGTATAGAAGTGAAGGGACTGGTCGCCATGAATAATCAGCCGGGTTAACTGTCGTACGACCGGCTGCTACATCCTTCGAGGGAGGTTCGCGATCGTTCAGCTGAAATCGAAGATGCTTACTGGAACTCTATTACTATTCGCCGACACGTAACGATTCCACTTAAACGTGACGGCATTAGGTAACAAGGGTTTCAATGCTGAAAGGGTTTCACCCTCACCGTTATACGTATGCAGGCGTAATGATTCAAGACAATCCGAAATCCTTTGAAGAGGCCTCGAGATACACGCGCTACACCCACGAAAGTATCTGTTCAAACCTACCACTCGACGCGCTATAAGCTTCCTCCGCGTAGAAAATCGTTACGAGAGACACGGAACTAAGATTAAGATCGTATATGTATATTTCTATAATACACGCTGTATTCTGGCAGACTATTAGAACTTGGCGTGGGAAACAGTCGCGCGAATACAGGAAATATTCAATCCGGATAATTTGCGTCCCCCTTGGCATTCGTCCCATCGATCGACTGATTCCTACCCCTCCAATTTACTGCAATGTACTATTCTGCGAAGGCGTTCGAATTAATTAACGACGCACTTTTGAGCTCGGGGCGGGGGGACGCAAGGGAAGAAAGAGAATCTACTTTTCTCCACGAAGCGTCGAAAAGAGGGATAACAGGGCAACGTCCTAAAAAAAAAAATAGATCTCCGTGGCGTAGTTCCCGAAACTTGACGCGATTCTATCAAAGCCTTCGACCCGCGGCGGGACGGCGTCTCCCTCTTTTCTTGTCCCCGCGATGAAGTTTTCCTTCAAACATTGCGTAAACCGCATCATAGAGTCCCATTAAAATGTTAAATTAAATTACGGCGCAGCCGCTCGTGCACGCGCGTCTCGCGATAGACAAGTTCGCGTTCCGTTGCCTGCGTACGCACCGGGCCGGTTGTAATTAAAGTACGATCTAATGAAGATGTTTTGCGGGGTGGCCTTTTGTAAAGTGGATAACGACGAGCCTAGGTACAAGGGTGGATTGTCGAAGCCGCGCTGCAACAAAAACCGTCTGACGAGCGTCCACGACGAGCGAGTCGAGCGAAATAATTCGACAGTTCATCAGCGAACTCCTCCGACAGCTGTATCGGGACAATGAAAGCCGGACGATAATGCCGCAATCAAACCTCTCGAGACAATAGTCTTCTTCAATTATCTTAAAGAATTCATGTCTCGCCGGCGGATCCCCGCTGATAGCGCCTAATGTCCGGACACGATACCGACGTCGTTTCTCTCACGTACATTAGTGTTTCCCCGCAAAATCACGTCGGATTTCCGCCGTTGCGCCGGCCGGTGAGAAACGCTCCACGTGCTGTGATCGATGAGCACCACCGAGGGTGGTTTTTTTCCCTTTCATTTTTTTTTTGCGAGTCACAGAGATATGACAATAAGAGGAGAGGGCACGGCGGGTGCGTAGGTAGAGAAATCAGCGGTAATCCAATCTTCGGCAAACACGTTGAGAGCAATCCGCGGAAAATAGAAAGGGGAAACCGATGTTGGGCGAAGACGCGCCTTAACGGACGGAACGGGCTGCCCGAGTCGAAATTTTGATACTATTTTGACACTCTTAAGGACAATTTACACCTACTTAGCCGATTTGTACACCTACTTTGGTGACGTTATATTTTTTACTCCTCCCTTGAATCTTTAATTCTAAACATTTACTCTAGCTTCTACCTAAAAGGATCTACTGCAGGAGAAGCAACCAGAAACATTAACACGGCATTTGGAGGAAGCACAACTAGTGAACGAACGACTAGACGTTGGTTTGACAAATTTCGTTCAGGAGATGTAAGCCTTGCAAATGAACCTCGTGGTCATCCTGAAACAACCATAGACAACGACGAGCTAAGAGTTTTGGTGGAATCCAATGGACGTCAAACTGTTAGAGATATTGCGGAACAGCTAAGTGTCCACTATTCGACAGTTACTCGGCATTTGTAGGTAATTGGTGAACTTTTTATTTCAAAAACGGCCCTTTTGCGTGCAACAACCTAATACTTGAAAGGGCCTATTTTAATGCTAAATTGGCAAAAGTAGAAGTTTCCGACACTATCAGCTTTAAAGTAGGAGTCAATTTTGTGCTTGCAGCTCGACCTCTTTTACTGTCTTAAGTCCTACTACATATTTAATGGAATTAAAGGTTCAACGTAGGGCCGAAATTTCGACTCGGCTAGCCGGGATTTTTTCGTGTTGCAAGTAACAAGCACGCGTTGCGGAGTATTAGAGGAAAAAGAGAGAAAGGGAGAATAGCGTAGCGTTCGCTTTCTCGAAACGCTTCGATAGAATTTACCGGCGAACAATGGCCCGTAGTAGTAGCAGCGTAACGGCTCTCAATAATGACGTTATCGATTCAAACGCGATTCACAATGCGAGAGTATAATGGGAACGTATGACGGCGGATTATCTCGGTGTCGTGTACACCCGGGGGGGAGGGGGGAGGGGGAGGGGGGAGCGGGCGAGATCCGCGTGAAAAAGCTCGCCATCCCAATTCTCGCGCGGGTCACAAGGCTCCGAGGCGGGGCTCGACCTGTCGTTCTCCAGCGAGCAGCCCGGTTCAACCGGGTCTGCACAATTTTTCCCGCCGCACAATGGGGGTAACAAGAAATCCCACTTGATCGCGGCGCAAGTTGAGAATGGCCGTCCGTAACGCGGGCCCCGGTCCTTTCTAATGGACCGTCATTTATCTCCGGCGGCCTTTCACGGAGCCATCTAAAATTTATACTGTGTAATAGCTCTCGGATATTTTCTACGAGACGGCCGTTGTGTACAAAACCCGGGGGGGGGACGCCGGCGTTTTAGCCGTGGACCGCGCGAGGACGACGAGACGATCGGGTGGATTCGAAGGTAGCTAACAACGGGAAAATAATGGGGCAGCGTATACCCTCGTCGAATTCCCCCCGGGGACGACTGACTCGAGTGACTCAATCGAATTCGCTCCGCCATAAGTCAATTATTTTTCCAGTAATTGAGCCGCCCCACTTCTACACCGTTTTCATCGCGCCTCTTCCCCGCGAGGGCCGGCTTCCGTCAAATCGCCTGTCGCAGATTGGTCTCCGGCGGTGAATTAGACGACGTGAGGTGTGGTGGGCTCGTCGATCAAGAAATACGGCCGTCGCAATTAATTCTGATCGATTGCGTCCTGTACGTTCGAGTTCGCCAGTCAAATTAGTCCCCGTTTGTGCGTGTACACGCATATTGAATTGGGAACGAACCGATCGTCAGAGATCGATCCGCGTAACAGAGGGAAACCCACTAGAGACGGTCGAAAATAACAAAGGAGAAGCGCGTTAAAATTATACGAACGACATTTATATCAGTATCGGCGATCGACAATTTGTTAAAAAAAAAAAGCCTCAAGATTATTCGCGCGGGAGTAAGAGCGTTTCCTCGCGGAGTGGCGAACGCTCTTGCGCTTTGGCGCGGGGGAATTTTGCGAGTACACCCTCGTGAAGGGCGCGTATCTCGCGTCTGCATCAGCGGTTCGCGCTTCTCGATGACGACGTAGGCGGCGCGGGACAAAACCCGTCGCGGGGAACTCGGGCACTCGTTAGTCGGCCCGAGTGTGAAAGGATCCGCTCGAGACACCGCGCGTCAGATCGCGGCTGCACACAGCAACCCTCCCGTGAAGCCCTCGTGACACTCCTCCCTCCCCCCCCAACGCCCTCCTGCAAGATGCAGTCGCCTCGTCCTGACGGATTCCAATCTCCGCTGCGGTGGTTTTGATGCGGTCGCGCGGTGCTCCGCGGCGTTATTAACTCACGCATTCGCGTGCGGACTCCCCTGCGGCCCGGAAAACTATCGGAGCTCTGTCAGACGTGTTGACTCGGCCGTGCACGTGATCCGCGTGCATCAGCGAACCCGAGCTCTCGCTCTGAAATTCTATCGTTCACCCGTGGCGAATTTTGAAAAACGCATCGGGATACTGATTAATTACTGCCGCGGGACCATTGCGGTTTCTGGACCCGAGTTGCGCGAAGAAAGTTAATCATCCCACGTTACGCTCGCGCATTTTATCCGGTAACCGGAGAGTCGTCTGCTTTCATGTAATACGTGCGGCGTTACGCGACCATCGGTATCGTCGTATGGCCTTTCGACCGTCGTTCAGGCATCAGACTTTACTAAGACCGAATCAGACTGGGAATTGCCGACGCGGATCGGGATTGGCGATTGGCGATTGTCTTCTAACCAATGAGAGCAGCCAGCGATTTAAGCGACTCTCATTCGCTAGACGAGAATCGTCAATCGCCAATCCCAATCCGATCCGAATCGGCAATTGCCAGTCTGATTCGGCCTTTACAAGTGATGTGCATGAACATGATTGCTCTGTAGGCGGGCGTCTCACCAATTCGACCACTGAGGCATGTGGCCATATTTGTCGCAATAAAGAC